CGTTCGGCAATTTCGGAGGCGTTGAGCTGAAGTTGAGCACAGATTCGTGTTTTTGTTGTTGTTGCTGTTGTTGGTATTGCTGCTGCTTTCACTGTAGCTGTTTATTTTTTGGGCTGCTGCCTCTTTTGACTTTGTTGTTTGGTTGGACTTTTTAGCTACCGGCACACAGTGTTTTATTTTTTTTTTTTGTGCTGTATGCCGTTGTTACTTCCGCTGTTGCCTTTGAAGTTGCGCCACTCTTCTTGACATTTGTTTACTCTCCCTTTGCTGTCATGCTCTCACACTCCCTATCCCCCTGTCCCTGCATCTTTCTTTCTGTTAGTTTAGCGTCAATTGCTCTTGTGGCAAAAATAACAAAACTTCTCGCTGCTAATAAATGAAAACTCACTTGAAACAAAAAATCACATACACACACACACACACACACACACATGCACGCACACTCACACCCTCGTAGATTGGCACACCAATTTAATTTCATTTTGATTTCGATCGAAAAAGCAAATAAGAATGCACGCAAACTCTCTTTATTTTCTCATTTTCACGCGCAACTTTCGAACAGAAACAGAACAGAACGGAACAGAACAGGAACTGGAACTTTTTATTTTTGGCTCACAATAGAACAATTCAATGGGCGCCTAAAAGTGTGCTATCAAAAATTACGTTTGCGCGCTTTGATGTTTTGCATGAATGGCTTTTCTGCCTGTGCCTCTGCCTCTGCCTCTACCTCTGCCTCTACCTCTGCCTCTGTGCCTGCCTCGGCCGGTGTCTCTGATTCTGATTCTGATTCCGATTCTGTTAATGTGTGTGTGTGTGTGTGTGTGTATCAGTGTGCCAGTGTGTGCGTCTTCGCTTTCATTCTTTCTGGCTCACTTTCATATACACATATGAACATTTTAATTGCATTTTTTGTATCAAATTCATATTTATTATGCGCCATGTGCGGGTGTGCCTTGTGCGGCTCTCTGTACTGCGTGCGTGTGTATTTGTGTGCATGAGACTGAACGAGCTTTTCCCATTAACAAGAGGAAATTAAAACGAAAAACTCATAAAGCAACCCATACATACAAGCAAGCAAGCACGCATTCACACACACACACACACTCGAATATAGGCACGACAATATATTATTGCCTCAGTCTGTCACTAATTGCGTTACTTGTGTGCGTGAGCGCTTGAGTGTATTCGTGTTTGATTTTTATAAATTTAATATTTTGGTATTTTTGCATATTATTCTTACAATTGATGCTATTATTTCAATTTCCACAATATTTTCACTCATCTGTTTTATTTCATTTGGCCGAACACTTTCAAAACATGACCATCGATTTATTCGAAAAGTGTTCAATGCGATAAAAGCACCAAATTATATTTATTTAATACCTTAACCACAACATCCAATGCGATTTTGCAGTTCATGCATTCTAAATTGTTTGCCAAGTAAATCAATTGAAATATTGCAACTGCAATGGCAATTATCCTCATTGAAGATGCAAATTCTTTATCAAAATATTACAATCACAATTCTTAAAGAACCGCAATAAATCCGCAGTATGAATGGATATTTCTAGCAATTTGGAAGTTAATTTTAATTTAATTTGAGTTTTCTACCTTCCACAAAATGTGTTGCTTGTTCAGACCAATAATGTCTACCTAAATAATGCAAACTTCTTAAAAATTTAACTGAATTACACCAGCATCGAAAATTTGGAAAGTAGCTAGCAGCCCGAAACTTTTTCTCACAAATAAGCCCAGCATACGAGTAACAGTAGGCTTACTTGTTTTCAGACCGAGTCTCTGTTTATTGCATTCAATTATATGGGCTGCTCAAATGCTGGGCAAACGAGTCTAAGCTGAAGGAAGCAACAAGCAATAGACCAAAGGCCACTCAGATTTCTTTGGCATAAATTGGCATAAACGATTCAGAGAAGTTCGGCGCGTTAATGCCAAGTTTCTCATTTCAGCTTTCAACTTGCTGGCAAGCTTCCGCACTTCAATGCTTATCAATGCGTTTATTTTGTCTATGTGTGTGTGTGTGTGTGTGTGTGTGCTTGTGTGTGTGGCACACAACCAACTAGTTAAAGAATTGGGAGAGAAAAGTAACTACGCTATAGCAAGAACAACAACAATCAGGACAACCTTCGGCGGTGACTAACCGCGCGGCAAGAAAAAGTTTTGCTTGGGGATTTTCCGACGCCAGCGTCTGAGTTGAGGCCGCAACAACCGCGTGAATTGCCGCACGCCCCCCAACGCCCCCCTTCCCGCTTCCTCCGCACAGCCCGCCCACATTGTAGGCTCCAGTTGGACTGAGTCTTTGTGAGCGCGTGCGATGGTGGTGCACTTCAGAGGCGACTCACAAGCACCGAGCAGCTGCTTGAAAGGACTGAGCTGGCTAGTTGAATGGGCAGGGGAGGCTGTGGAGTGGTGAGCGGGGAATGGGGAGTGGGGAGGTATGGGGAGCCCATTTGCACTCCAACGCGCGGCGGCTAATAACACTTGCAATTTGAGTAAAGCTGGGCATTTCAGTATAATTTAATGAATAAGTTCAGTTGTTCTTTTCAGACTTGTTCACTTGTTCATTTCGTTCATGAACGTTTCCATTTGCTCGTCGTTATTTCTGTTCAAGAACGATTTCATAAATCTGTTCAATTGTTTTTTGACCAAACAATTTAATTTAAGCGTTAAGTAAAAAGGAATAACTGAACGAAATTTCAATTGAATGTACAGAAGGTACAGAAGATTGTGAAAAGTATAAGTTTCATTGAACCTGTTACGAAATTCATTTATTGACCAATACGTTATTGGGAGAACAAATTCATTATAAAAATCTATAATTTCGTGTTTATTTATTCAGCAAGTAATATGATATTTCTTTTGTAGCCAAGACTACTACCCATTGAAGGCCTTTTCGTTATTGTAACACTTTATTTCGAAAGTAATGAGGTTGTTGCTAATTCTGCATCGTCAAGGAATTACTCTAAGCCCCTCAAAGGGTAAAAGAGTATCTTAGCAGAAGGACCCCATAAAGTATATATTACATGTCCTTCATCAGCATAATAAGTGAAATTGATTTAGAGATATAAATATGTTATACGAGATTATTTTAGTCGCTTTATTTTGGTTGTCCAAAGGGTAATTTAGTAATTTTCTTTTTCCATTTCATATTTCATTCCAGTAAGTTAAGAACAACAGCGAGAGTATTAGCAAAACAAACTTCAGCAGTGGTTTCTTCTTCTTCAACTGGATTATAACACACATAATACAGCGACGATAGTTTTATTTTTTGTGTAAAGGGCACTTCAATGTCGGGCGGGCTCGCCTGCAACATGCTCTGTGGCCCTACCCTGTGCATAGGCAGCCGATACGGAAGAATAGTCGGGTGCAAAGGTTTCAAAACTGACGTCGAACAAAAACGATTTAAGCTGCAAGTGCCAACAATGGCGCAAAGTTCCTTCCCAAAGCGATGCATCGCGTGCATGCCAGGTTGCCGCTGCTTACTGTGTGCTTGTGTAACGTTACTGCATGTGTGTGTGTGTGTAGTAGTAGTAGTAGTAACTATATGTGAGTTGTGCTCCTTCTGCAAACTTTTGCGCTCAATGTTTTAATTTAATACACAAACTGCAAGCTCAACTCAAGCTGCGACGCTTGAGACTCTGACTGCGACTGCGGCTGCAATGCGGCCATTGTTATTGTTGCTGTTGCTTTTGGTGTTGTTGTTGTCGTTGTTCTTATTGTTGGAGTCTTGGGGCAGCGTCTGTCACTTGGCACTTGGCTTGGTTTTGTCTCAGCGCAATTGAACTCGTTTAGGGCCCATAAGAGAATTTATTTAAAGCCAACTTTTTCTCTCTCCTACTTATTCACATTCTGAATCTTTTTGTTAATGCCTTCTACGTCACTGGCGATGTCCCGAGACGACGCGACCGAGCAGCTTTTTCTATATGTGTATGTATGTTAGTATATGTAAGAGATACAGGAAGGCCACAGATGATTGAAAACATTAGGCATGCAAAGCAGAATACTTCGTGAGTGCATTGAAAGGTGAGTTTACATAACGGTCTGAATCAAAATGATGTAGCACTGCACAGTGGAATTCCTCTAACATCGACAAGAGCTTTTCTTTATTTCGACCATTCAAGAATAATTCCTTTAGCCGGACGTTCAAATTACTGAACAAGGAGGCTCATTTGGATGATTCTATCTCTTATAAACGGGCGGAATTTACAAAAAAATACCAAGTAAGGATTTTGTGGTTTCCATTTTTTTTAATTCTCATGAGCATTTAAAATGTTGATGGTAACTAAATTGGTAAATCCCCTCAATTAAATAAGGTATAAAATGACAATATTGTCTTTTTATTTTGCGCTAAATTCGAGGACAAATGTTCCAGCTTAACAAGAGATTTTTAATGCACATCGATTACGCATCTATATTACATTACAAGAGACAATAGTTAATAACAATAATTATAATTTATAGTAATAATATTGCAGTATATTAATACCAAACACCCCTATTAACCTAAATGTATGTACATGTACATACAAGTATATGCTATATGTGTTGCTTAGGAGTGGGCTTTCCGATCATTTTGATGAATCAGTTTCGTTTACAGATTTCGAGTTTTCCAACATACTGATCATTCATTGATTATCCATGCTTGTATTTAAACCCTTTTACTAATAAATATACAAATAAGTTACAGTGCTTGCTAAAAAATGTCTTAAGATTTCGGAATATAGTTTTCTAAGCGAAAAGGATTTGCCTGAATGAAATAAAGAATCCATTTTTTTTGATCGAATATTCGTTTTAATATACGAAGGGGGAGTGTATGAATTCTAAAATTGTACGGTCGGCTTTTATTTTTATTTCCATTGCTTCCATTACAAGTAGTTTACAACGAAATTTAACTCACTAGTGTCATTGCATACCTGAGCTGGGAGCATTCATTTATTTACATATTTACAACAATTTTTTCTTAGCGCCCCAAATTCGTTTGGTCAACATGTCGAGCAAAGTTTGTTCAACTTGCGTCCTACAAGTTATTTGCAACGCGCAGGAGCCAGTGTCGCAAATGCAACTGATATCACTTTTCACCAATGATCCTTCGGATGAAGTGGTGAGGAAGGAGCTTCAATTCATCCTGACGACCTCGCTGGACTTGGGCTTAATAGTGAAGAGCAGCGACCAATACTACATCGGAGCTAACGTAAACGAAACGGTACGGGAGGAGGAAAATCCGGAAGTCCAGGAGGTATCTCAAGGTGCTGAGCAAGCATCGCAAATGCCTGAGATGGAAGAAGTGTCAGCGGAACAAGAGAGTCAGGACAAAATAAATTAGTGGTCAGCAATGTGGTTAGTTATATTCAGTCATCCCTATGAAGCGACACAAGTGCTTGTCAATACTATTTCAATTTATATATGTTTAGCCAATATGAATCAAACAAATTCAGCTGCGGTGCAGTGTGTGCGGTTAATTGAAATAACTTTCCAAGGAGAAAGGAAGCCATAGACTCAGGTCCCACTTTACGCAAAATAATTTCAAAGAGGACTAGCACTAAAAATTTACAGTGAAATCTTATGTACGCGCTTGTAATAACAAATATAAAGAGCGGATGAAGTTGCTCTAACATACAGTGTATTTATATCGATAAAACCTTCCCCCTTGAACTTTCAAGCACAATAAACGTTTGCTAAAAGACATGCCGATTTTATATCTCAATCCTACAGAATCTTTTCCAATGCAGGAGAGAGTTTTTCTGTTATAGCGGCTCACAGGATGCATCAGTAATCAGCACGTGCGATCTTTTTACTTCAATAGTACAAACAAATATTAACTGATCTACGTTTGCGGCAATTCTTTTACATATTTATTTATGTACATTGAAATGACATGCTTATACAAATTATTTACGAGTATAAATCTTACGAAATTATGATGGGAATAAATATTTTAATTTCATTTATAGGATTCTTCTATTGGGCCATGTGAAACATTTTGATTGAAACCCACAGCTTTTTTGGGGTGGCAAGTATTGTCATCTATTCCAAACAATCGAATTCTCTATGTGGATGGAATATGTCTTCGGCAGAAGCATATACTTAGATACTTGGTAGTTCCAAAAAGCTTGCACATTTTGTTATTTTCAGAGTTGGTTTTAATTTTAATTGAAACGTAAACCTTGGACGATTTAAGCATAAATATCCACTACTACATTGCCAAAAATAATGTCTTAATTTCAACAGTCTTTTATGACTGAACGGAAAGCTTTCGAAAGCTAAAGTGGCAGGCTCTGATTTTTGCTGTCGTTGAAGCCTAAAATTGAAAATCCCAAGCAAAAACTTGAATTTCTCTCTTCTTTCTCTCTTTCCTGTTCGTTGTTTTGTAGAACGAAATCGCAAGGAATTCCCCATCGGAGCATTGAGCCTTTTATTGATTTCATGTTGACGGCATTACGCATACGCCCTGTTGCGCCAGCACCTTTAACAATTTGAATTCTTGGGCGCTTTAATAGCGTCGCCCAACTGAAAAGGTCGTACAAAGGCTCGAATTTCTGTAGTTCGCTCGGCATCCCTCCAACCTGCCAATCAAATTGACTGAGAGGAAGAGGAATATGGGAAACAGGTGTCAATTGGATTTGGTCACATTTCTTGGGTCTACCAGCAGAGCAGGTTGTGTGCGTTGTGTGCGACTTTTACGACTTGGTGACAAATGAATGCGTAGACAAATTTAATGAGCGGCGGAAATGTCTTTTCGTTTCGTTTCGTTTCGTTTTTTGTGTTCTTCTCCTTCCGCTTCATCTCTCTTGTGTTTTTCCGTTTTATTTCGCTTTTCGCTTAGCCAGTGTAAATTTATTGCCTTTCTGCTGGCCGCGCCTAAAAGTTGTTTAAGCCAAAAGCAATAACGTTTTCAACAGCAACCAGAAAAAGGCATACATATGTTGGTTTTACGCTCTCGGCCCGAACCCAAAAAAGGCGAATGCCCGGCAAATGGCAAATAAAATAATGCGCACTTACAAAACCGCACATCGCAAGTAACGGTGGTTGGGGCAGCAGGCAGCAGGCGGATGGCAGAAGGCGGAAGGCAACCCACACAATAATAGAAACTCGGCTGGACAGCAGAATAAAGTAAATGGAAGCAGAGGAAAGAAGCGAGCAAAAAGTGAAATAAATGATAACAATAAAATATAAATAAATAAATAAAATTAACTCATAACCACTTAGACAACCGCAACGGGGCTCAACAGCAAGCGGCCCCCGAGAATGCCGGACGGGTATTTCGTTCCTCGTCCCTGTTCGTCCCTGTTCGTCCCTCTCTTTAAGCGACAGCCGGCAACGCCAACCACTAGCCGCTGAGCGCACCACAGGACGCTCGTTGGCCACTCGCTGGAGATGAAGTGGAACTAACAACAACATAATTTAGTGAGCCAAAGTGAGTCAGGCACATTAACAAAACGACTGAGTGGAGTCGAGCCGAGTGGCGTGGAGTGGAGTGGAGTGGATAGGGGCTGAGCTGAAGCAGCGTTACATGGTGGGGGGCGTAGGGACAGTGCTTCCTAGAGCAACAGCATAAAAAACGGCAAAACAAAAATGGCCACAAACGGATGTGCGGCTGATACAACAAAATGGTTGGCGACCACTGGCCACTAATGTGCTCATGTGTGTGTGCGTGTCTACAGCTTTATGTGTATTACTGGTGTGTGGAAGCAAACGCCTACAACAACAAAAACAACAGCAGCAACAGCAACAACAACAACGAGAACAATATCAGCAACAGTAACAAGTGGATAATATTTTCCGTAGCGCTTACAACTTCAAAAATGCCGCCACCGTACACACGACTCCGAACCTTCATTTATCAAGTTGACATTTTAATTTATTAAAACAAAATGAAATGAAATGAAACGATGGCCTGGCCAAAGGAAAAGTGTGGCAAATGTTTCGGGCTGCACAGTGGTTGGATTTGCTTTTTTTTTTTTTTTTGGTGAGTAGTTCTGCTGGGCTAAATAGAAGACTAATTAGTGCCTAGTTTTTTAACTTCAAAAAAGCCACCATCATTGGAAATACGAAATATACTGATTGATCATATTAATTATACCCCAATTAAATACCAATATATATGAAGGAAATATGCTAAAAGCTCATTTATTCTGTTGTGAAAATAGAAATAAAAACATTTCAGCGTGCAGAAAAGTATTTTAGAACGACTGCTGACACCAGTCATTGATTTTTGAAACCATAGCTTTAAAATACGAGTATAATGATGATTGTTCTGCTCCATTATCCAGCGATGAAAGCTACAGTCAATAAATCGAACAATCTTTGCTGAGGTTGGAAAACCTAAGTATTGAAAAAATAATTCACAATTTTGATGTCCAGACAAATCAGCAGAACAAGATGAGTTAGAAGAAGATGAGTTAGAAATAAATAAGCTGAAGTCATGGAATTTCCTTTCAAAGCGAACATGAATCATATTTCTCATAAATGATATCCAGGTATTCTCACAATATACTATACACAATAATATTAATTATCATTGAGTATATAAGTATTTCCCATGAGGTTGAATAGTTTCTTAGGTGTACTTTATTCTCATCTTTCTATTTATTTTCGCTTTTGCAACACTGTGGTCGGCTAACGCCACTTCAGCCATATTCCGCTTACTTACAATGCCAGTCAAGCGCCAAAAAGCGAAACAAAAGAAGCCCGAAAGGCGTTGCAAATGAATGCGTTAAAGATGACGGCCTGAAAGGGAATTCGGCAACCGGAGACTATCGCATGAGCAAGCAAAATAAAGCTGACCCTCCGATACGAGTAGAGCACTCCAAAGCAAACGAATCCCACACACACAAACTCAATTCTGTACTAAATCGTACGTATGGCAAAGAAGTATAGTCGGAGTAGCCAAGGAGACAGGGGATGCCGAAACAGGCTCTAAGGTTAAGATACAATGTTCTATATACATATATATAGAGTAACATGCGATAAGGCGGACAGAAATGACAAACAAACAATTGCCATCACATTGAGGGGCTGGTTTTTTTCTATCTTAATTAATGATTGGCTTTAAATTTCAGTTTAATGTGTATTATGGCTTCATATTCATCAAAGATGGCGGACATGCATACACTCCTTCAATCCTCCAATCCTCCAATCCTCCTTTGGGACACGAGACCTGTTTTTAAAATACTAGAGGTTTGTTACTTGTGGGGTTTCTTCCGCCTAATTGGAATTTTGCTTGAATAAAGCCGATTTATGTCAGGGAATTTGTAATTTCCTTTAAACATAATTGTTGCTCTGAATATTTCTAATATTCTGGGGGCTAAAATGATTTGCCTATTTGGAAATTGAAAAAGACATTTTACAAATATTAATTTTTAATTTTCAATTATAACTTAAAAACTAGCTTGTCATTAATTCAGGATGTTTAATTGTCTAAAATATATTGGTATTTGGTATAATTACAACTCAGTTTATACCATTTACCCGAAGAGTGGCAGGCGCTATATTTTCCATTTGCCTGTCTGGTTTAATGTCCAGATGATGTAAGGGCTAGTACCAAGAGGAAACTTAGAACCGTCCTTGCCGTTTCAGAAATATTCTTAAATATAGAGATCCAAGCAGTTCCAGAATATAATTTCAATATAATTAGATTTCAATAATTTAAAAACTTTTATACAGATTTGGATATTAGTCTACCATTTATCAATGTCATTTATCTTCTATACAAATACAAAAGTAATGTTGATTGGTCTGTAATATAAGAACTCTAAAATTTCTGTTTCAATTGAGTTCAAATGTTAACACATCGGCAAGTTGGCTGCAGGCTTGATTGAATCTAGTTATCGTGCCACTGACGTGGCTATGTCTTATGCAGTATTAGCCAAGAATTAGCTGAGTAAGCTAACCATCAAAAACACAAAGTTCAATTATTTAATATGTATTAATTTTGTTACGATGATAACAATATCTATTAAGGCATAAAAACGAGCAGAATATAAAATTATAGATGCAAAACAAGTCCTGAAGCTAAAATAATGAATAAAAAAAAAATTTAAAGTGAAACAGAAACGCCAGCCTAGTCGGCTAGTAATTCATTTAAGTTGAAAGGTCAGTTTTGTCCTCTAGTATTATGATAGATTTTATAAATATTATACTATAAATCAATAAGTCATGAATCCGTTTGAACTTTTTAAATGTCTATATAATTTTAAGAATTTTTACAATTTATGGCCATTGAAGCATGCTAAGCTCATGGGGGGCTGGATATTTCTTTCGAGTGTTGTTGGGCATGGGGTGGGGATGCCATCAAAATGAAGGGAGAGCACCTAGATATGAGGCTTGAGCTTCTTGTTTTGTTCATCCATAAATACAACATGCTGTGCCACGAAACAAAAAGGGAAACAACAACAGACACAAAGCCGGCACATGCTCATCAGTGCTTGTAGGTCGAACGTAGCGGTTCTTTTTTAATTTGCATAAATTTTTATGGCGAAAATTTGTAAACGCATTTTCTTTTCCTACATCTTCTGCTGCTACCTTTCTCAGCATGCTAAACAAGAAAGAGGTCCATGGCTCAAAGAAAAATATTAAAACGGCAGCGAAATGTAAAATAAAATCAAATAAATTCCAAACGCAACAAAAGGTACGCGGCCACAGTGGCACCGTTGCAGGCGTTGGCGGACAAAGAAAATAGGGGCA